CTCTCAGCCTGGTGAGTGACAGGTTTTGCTCATGAGAAGGTAAAAGAAGACTAATGTACTTGATCCAGGTAGAAACATTTCTGGTATAAATACTGTGGGGACTGAGCAAGAAATAGGTCCAGCTTTGCCCTGAGTTTGTTTTTCCTACCTGTACATTGACGATTGCTTCCATAGCTGTATTTTTATTTCTCAGTACAGACCCCCCTCACTATATTGAATTCCTGAGGCACCAGGTCAATAAGAATTGCAGACATACTGTATTTTTCCACTTGCTTGGTGATGCCCAGAGCAGTGTGTGGATGCCAATGAGAAGCCTCCCCTAAGGAGAGCTCCAGGCTGCAGCCATCCTCCCTGCTGACAGTCCCAGGAACAGGCTGGGACATCCGGGTGCCTTCCCAGGAGAGTGCAGCAGGGGAGTGAGGCAGGTGGGAACTCTGGAGGAGAGGTGAGATCTGTGTTTGTTCCTCTTTGTGGTGAAGGAGCTGTTCTTGCTCTGAACTTTCCCCAGGCAACCTCGTGGTTAAGGATGCATAAACAATATGCGCTTGCCTTGCTTGCATAATCCCTGAGGGATTAAATTATTGCCTCCATAGAAACAGCTTCTCTCTACTCTTCCTGCCCAGAGCGACAGAGGAATCCAAAGAGTTTTTACGTTCAGGCATGTTCCTTAATTCGTGCCATATCTGTCAATATTAGCCATCTGCTCTGAGTGATGATGCCTGCACAGACCCATCTTCATTTCTTTTGCTTTTATGATCTTTGTGTCAATGCCTTCAGATCCTTTTTGTGTGCATGCACATTTATCAAAGGGTTGAGAGCCAGTATATTCCTGTCTGTTGCTTATCAGAGGCAGGGAGGGAGTTCTACCTTCTTTTAAGAGCTAGAAAATGGGATCCACATTTAACCTGAGTGCCTTTGAATATTTGTTAAGGTATAGATCTAACAAAAGGGCCATAGCTCTGTGTGTCTCACTGGGAATAATGCAGATTTCTGTTGCAGAGATTTTGTGAATAGATGAAGGCAATTTGTGTTGAACATCAGTGAGAGCCATCTGCAGAGTAGGGAGCTGAACTCCTGGGTACATTATTCCGAGTTCCTCTTCTGGCATCTGATAATTCTTTTGTGGGAGAGAAACTCAGGAAAGACAATTATTAAAATCTGCTGCTTTGCCAAAAAAGAGACTGTCCAGCAGTCTCAGGTAAACATCAGCTTGAGAGAAGCTAGGACTGCACATATCACACAGTGTTTAGTCTCTTAAAAAATGCAACTCCTGGGAGAGCCGCGCGGCACCTTCTGTTCCTCGTCCCTCCCCTTGGCAGTGGCTGCAATGAGCCGGGCATAGGGTTCCTTCTAGGAAGAGGTTTCAGTCTGTTCTCTCACGCTCTGGCACGGTCCTGGATATTTGATGGCAGATTCTGGGGAATGGGTTAGGTGGGGTTGCATGCACTGGGGACTCAAGGGACGCTTGGCCCGTGAAGCAGCTGCCAGTGGTGCCCTGCTCTGGGCTGATCCAGCCTGTCTGTTTTGGCTCGGGGGGATCTTCGTGCCCCCTACTCTGCAGCAGAGAGAGCTGTACAGAGGTGCTGCCTGGCTGGGCTGCACAGGAGCCTGGGGGCTTCCAGCTCTGCCAAGGCCTTCAGTGCCAGTCCTGGGAATGTTTCTGCACCCAAATCGAATGGAGCTTCGTTCATTGTTTTAGTGTTATTTAAAAATGTGCATACTAGCCACCTGATTTATAAAGACTGTTTACAAGAAATATTTTGTATCTTAAGATGTGTGTGTACTGTAAAAAGAAAAAAAAAAAGGAAAGGATGAAAAATGATGCTTTTCTACAGCTGTTAGCAGTGACTGCATGTCCATATCATTGTCCACCGACTGTTGTTCCTCAGGGGTCTCCCCGCCATTCCTGTGATCCTGTCAAAAGCATAGGGAAGCAAGTGAATCCCTGTACAGTCTTGGGAAGAAGGTTTTGTGCCTTAAGAATGGGACCTGCTTCCCTCCTATTTATTATGTTAATTTATACAGTGACTACCATGGCAATGTCTCTTGTATTTTTTTTTTTGTACATAGTTTACTGTTGATTGTTGTAAATAAGTTTTTCTTGTATATAAAGTAAACATGTTTCTGAGCTTCCAGTAAGGATTCTCTGTTACTGATTTTGTTGTGAGAGGGCTGCTGTGCCCGTCTGGTGGGAACCAGCTAATAAAAAACTGTGCTGTGATCAAGTGGCTTTATCTGACTTGCATCAGAAGTTGAGAGCTGTTCCTTAGAGGGGAGTGAAATAGTAAACGGGAGTGTTGTAGATTAGTTTTGTAGCAGCTTTTTGTGCTGGTTTAATTGGAGTAGAAGACATCAGGTAGTTTATTTTCATTAGCTACATCTTGCAGTGAACAAAAGGTGTTTTAAATGTGGTGTTTCTGCTGGTGCTCATCCTGCTCATAGCTCTGCTGCCTGCAAACCCCCAGCTCGATGGGCAGACCCTGCCGGGAACACAGCAGGGTGTGTGTTGTTACCTCATGTGTTTGCAGAGCTCCCATGGGTGCTGTGCCAGGGTGAGAGGGGAGCACTCCATGTACTGCAGGCAATGTATACAGTGACTGGAACGAGTGAAGGTGCATTTACAAAAATGTGGGAGAAGGGAATTTTCTCATGGACTGTAGAAACTCAGTGCCATAAAAGGACACCTGTAAACTTGATAGAATTTGGAGGTGTTTGGATGAGGAGTCCGTAGAGCTGATTGTGATAAACTTTCTCTTCTATCCATACAGATTGGTGTGTTCATGAGATGCTGACAGGAAACTTCAGCAGACTAATTTAAACTGGTTGTAGAGTTCCACAGTACTGTTGCAAAGTAGATGGAAAGTAAGTTATAATGGTCGTGAATATTTTCTATGTGAAAAACACCTTTGTACTTGATAGCTAAATGGAAGTGTGGAGAGATACTTTGTGTGACAGGAACATGAGAAATCATACTAATGTTACATACTCCTGCAAGATGAAAATGGTAAAATTGATCATTACGATGTTACCTAGAACAGGAATAAGGAGAAAAGAAAAATCATATCAGACCTGAGTGTAAGGCTCTTCTTTAGGTGGCACTACAGAAAACATGCAAAGAAAGTAACAGCAGAGGCAGAAGATACTCTTACTTCTCTGATACAGGTAATTTGTTTTGGTCTTTTTTTTAATTATGTGGCAGAAGCCAATAGCAAAAAACACATTGCCCCACTCAGTGTCTCATCGCTGAGATGTCAGACCTGCTCAGGGCTGCCATCGTCTTGGTTTGATTTAACTACCAGGTGGGTCTCAGGAGGTGGGAGTGGATGGGAAGAGAGGTGTGCTGTGAAGATCTTGAAGTGCCAATGAGTTTTAAAAACACAAAGTATTCTTATTCTTCTGGTGTTTCCCTTGTCCTAGGTGGTGTTGGGTAGGGAGGGTTTATGTATTTGGGTTTTTTAATAGAGTGTAAAGTGTCTTGAGAATTGAGGAGAAGGCAAGGAGATCTGCTCCAGCTGAATGGGCAGCTCTGCAAACTAACAGGTTCAGAGGCAGCCCTGCCACTTCTCACCCAGCTGCAGAGTCATAAGGTAAATTCCTTGTTCGGCAGCTCGAGATGTTTAATTCTCAGAAGGTTCTGAGAATTAAGAACCTAAGAAGGTTCTGAGACTGTGGGAAGTTACATTTCATGTTATAACAGCTAAAAGATTTATGGCAGTTCTTGAGCAACTTCTGTTTGAAGAGTTCCAGTGACCAAGTGACCTTCCTGGTAAAATACACGGTCATTTATGGCCTATGGCTTTTCCTCCTGGGAGCAGGGAAGGGGTGGCCTAAGCCTTCTGGTCCTTCTCCAGGAGCAGGTTGGTTTGCACTCATGGGCTGTGCTGTTTCGTTTCAGGTGGTTCATGGGGAGAGATGATGGCTCACAGAACACTGGGTTTCTGCAGGTCTTGCAAGAAATCAGGACCCAGGATGAGAGGCAGACCTTGGTAGAGCTGTTTGTAACAGCTGTGAATCACAACTCTCCACAGTGTTAATTTAAATTATATGGAGCCTCTGTCTTGCCATCCACTTGTGAAGTTTCCTCTTTCTCCTCTTTATCCTTTTCTAGCCCTCCTTAGAAAAATCCCTTTTTTTTAAATGAAGGTGAAGTAGAAAGCAGAGAGCCCAGCACTGTAATTGTTTAGATTGAAATGATTCCCTGGCATGCAAAACTGGGCAGATCTTGAGGTACTCTAGAGTATCTTTTCTTCAATCCCCTGCACCAGGAGTCATAAGATCATCTGATAGCCCAAGTGCAGGCTTTTAAAATACACATTTCTGCACTACAATGGCAGGAGAAATGGGAAAACAGGAAAATAAAGCCCTCAAAACACAAGGACTGATGAAGAAGTAAATTCTTTCTGAGTATCAGTATAGGGGTTTAAAAAAAAATAAGAAATTTTTAGGAGACTGACACACAGGTTTGAATCTTCTAGATTGGCAGTTGATGTGTGTGTCCTAAATTTCCAACCTATACCAAGTCTTAGAGACAGAAGTGTATTAAAACCCAGGCAACCTGTGTGGTAGCAAATGGCAAAGTCAGCTACATATATGAATAAAATGTAATATATGCTCCTACCTGTGTTTCCTGTATTCAGGTATGTTGCATAAACTTTAATTGCCACAAAAGTCTGTTACCATTAATGTCAGTGGAAGTTTGCTTGTGGAATGTCTGAACTGAGGATGAAGGACACACCAGCAGAGCTGGCAGTGCACACACCTTCCCCAGCTGGGATTTCGGATGCCACAATCTTTATTTTAGCCCCCAGTGGTTGAACGGTGAACCCTTCGTTTAAAGAGAGCTTGTTTTTCAAGAAAGTCCATGGTCAAGTTTGTGAGTGAAAATGAAAAAAAAAAAAAAGTTTTATAAGTACTCAGTGCTCTCCTGAACAGTGTCAGGGGATGTGAGCTGAGATCCCAGGGCAGGTGAGCCCACCTTTCACTGGACCCCAGTGGCACTTTCCCTGACAAAGGACCCCTGAGGACTCCTGCCTGCACAGGTAATTTGCATGAAAATGCCATGTCCTCAATATTAGGAAGAATTTCTTCACGGAAAGAGTGATTAGACACTGGAAGGGGCTGCCCGGGGAGGTGGTGGAGTGGCTGGATGTGACACTCGGTGCTCTGGTCTGGGTGACGAGGTGGTGATTGGTCACAGGTTGGACTCAGAGGTCTTTTCCAACCTCAGTAATTCCGTGACTGAGGGTTTTCTCTAAATGTTTAATATTCAGAATTCTGTAGAATACTTTGTGCTGATGAGAGCTAACCCAGTATACCAAAAGATGTGGCATGCTGGTACAAGCTTCTGGTACCTGCTCGTGGCTGTCAGGGGGATTAGTTCCCTTGGTTGTTTTGGGGGGGAATCTTGGGTGAGAAAGTAAAGTGGGAGGACTCTTAAAAATTGCAATATGTGTCTCTTTTGGATGATTGCATGCTGTGAGAAGATGGTAGGATCTCTCAAGAGACCTTAGCACTGGGTGGTTATGCTTACAAACTAAATATAACAATTTCTGCTTGCCAGAGAATCTAAAGAAAAAAAAAACCCCAGATTTTCAAAAGGCAGAGTGGGTGCCTCAGCTATTTCACTTTTCCCCTGTGTGCAGGTCATTTGTCAAGCTCCCCCTGAGCACTGTTTGTTTAACTTCATGTCACTCCAAAGAGTAAATATCTGAAGTTATGGATTAACTAAATTCCACAGAGCTCATGGCGGAAGAATAGATCACCCTGATTCCCACTGAACAAAGCAGTAAGTGCTTCAAAAGTATTGCATCCTTCAGGATTTCCAAGGAGAGCTTGCTTTAATGGAGCAGGAAGCTTGTCAAAAATGTCCAGTGGCAAGGGGAGAGTGTCAGGGCAGACATAAAGTGTTCTGGGAGAGCTGCTGATGGGTTAGAGGGAATGAGCAAACAGGTGTGGAGGGACTCAGAATGGCCTGTGACAGGCCAGTGAAGGAGCTGGCTGGGCCGGCTGGGTGGGAACTGTCTGCAGCAGGCTCTTGCTGTCCCTCAGCAATGTGCTCCTCTTCACACCTGCCTTCTCCTCAGGTGACTCCTGCTGCAGGATGTGGAAGCACCTCGCCCTCGGGCTGCTGCTGGCTGCCTGCTCTGCTTGGGTCTGCGACACCTCAAGTAAGTTTTCATTTGAGAGAGACCCTTCACCCTTCCCCAGTCGCTGCACGTGCATTTCCTGCTCCTCTGTCAGTCAGATGGAGCGGCTGGAATCCTTTCCATTATTGGGGGGTTTGAATTCCTCCAGCAGAGCTGACAGGCAGTGCTGGGCCATGACAGCTGCCTGGTCACAGCCCTCCTGAGCCCCTGAGCTGTCAAGAGTAGCACAGGGCAGGAGCTGGAGCTTCTGCAGCACAGCACAGACAGACTCTGGTGTCCAGGGCAGCCCCTCTTGCTGTGCTGGAGAGGGGCTGGTGCTCTGCTAAGTGTCCTTTGGGAAGCACCACTACTAGTTTTCAGCCAGCTCTTTTCTCTGCTTGTGCTTTCACATTTTTGCTTCCAGTATTTTACAGCACTGAAGATGCAAACCAGGTCCTGAGGATCCAGAAGCGGGCGAACTCTTTCCTGGAGGAGCTCAAGCCGGGCTCTGTGGAGCGGGAGTGCATTGAAGAGCGCTGTGACTTCGAGGAGGCCAGTGAGATATTTGAAACCAAGGAATCAACAGTAAGTTGTTTTGTTAAGGATGAGTGTGGGAGTTACCCAATCAATTATTTTCTTAAAATATTGCAATCCAGGGCATAGAAGATCATGCTGTCAGCACTAAAAATGGATCTCTCCTGATTCCTAAGGTGTTGGCATGGTTTTGAATGTCACTCTGTTACAGTGATTGTCGTGTTACCACCTGTATGGGCCATAAAAGTTGGCTACTCGTGCATGTCCCACCTGACCCAGTGGTGAGGTTTAGGGCCCAGCCAGATAATTCCAATCCTTGCTTGACCCCACTGGCTATTCTTGCTGCCACTGAGTTTTTCCGGGTCCTTCCAGTCTTTGCCCTCTGTTGTCCATTCACCAGCCCTGGCTGCCTTTCATTGTATCTCCCCAGTGTCCCAGTTGGGCATGGCAAACGTTTCTCTCATCACTAGGTTCTCTCTTTTTGTCCAAACTCATATTTTCAATTGGATGCTACCTTTATCATCAGCATCACTGACTCCTGCCCCTTTTCCACACTTGTTCTGTCAGCTTGGATTCTTTGTTACTGTGTTGAGCAAAGCAGCTCACAGCATAGGATGAGCCAGTCTTTGTTGTCCCTCAAACCCCAGAATGGAGAGGGATCTGTCTTTGGAATGCCCACGTTTTTGTCTGACTGGGCACAAGTGAACTTGGATGCCTCACCTGGCAGTAAGTGACAAGAAAACAGAGAAGCAGTGGGGATATTGAGGGGCTTTGGTGTTGGTAGGTCTGCAAACAGGACAGGGGAGATCTGTGCTGAGTACAAGCAGTATAGGATCATTTGGCCAGTTTTCTTGGTTTGTAGTGCCAGTCACTACACTGTCAAGAAGAATGAGACTGATGCTGTTGACTGTTCTCTGATGCTGTTCTCTGTTGGCCAAGGCCATGATACACTTTAAATCCCTCACTTGTTAAAAATGGTTTTCTCACCATAATACAAATTTTGTTTCTCCACAGCTCAATTTTTGGAGCAAGTATGTAGGTAAGTAAAAGACTTTCCTAATCACTTCTCTGTGCTTCCTCAAGAGTAACTGCTACTCAGCCTTCCTCCTGCCATATGTCACATACTGATTCATATTCTCATTTTCTCCTATATGGGGTGTGCAAAGAATGTTTTCCCCTTCTGTCACACTAGCAGCCTTCCTAAAACACTGTGCACCTGTAGCTGTCATCAGTCATCTCCCCAGAGCTAAGGAATTGGTGAAAAGTGCTTTGGTGCTCTAACCCTGTCTGATGTGGGCCAAAGAGGAGCCCCACCCCTGCAGTCACCTGCCACTGCCCTGTCTGCCTCAGGCTTTGCCCTTTCCTCCCCTTCTGCCCACCCCACTCTCTCTGCAGCTGTAGGTGAGAACCCAGAGCGATGCCCTGTCTCTGGGCGAGTGCCATGGAGGTGTCACCTTTAAGTGCCAGCAGCTTACCACCCATCACATAGGTGATGTTTGGGAATCTGGGGAGGGCCTGTCCGTGTTGATGTTCGATCTGTGAGCTCTGTATGATTCAGGGCCTGGATTTTCCTACCTCTATTTCAGATGGAGATCAGTGTGCGCCACAGCCTTGTTCCAATGGCATCTGCAAGGACAATATTGGAAAATTTTCCTGCATCTGTAACAAAGGCTGGGAGGGGTTTTTCTGCAATTATGGTAATGCTGCATTTAATCCACTATAAAATAGCATCCTTTGTGACAGAGGTTTCTGTGCAGTAGGGGTCAACACTTCAGTCATTGCACAGCTTACTCACTTTCTTTACTAATGTGATTTCTCTCTTGCTTCATGATTGTGGTAGGAGGTTTATTTGTGTTTCTCTAAAGCAAAATTAACTTTGTGTTGCCATAGGAGAAGTTCGGAGATCTGAGATATCTAAATTTTGAACAAGTACCGAAAATAACTCTGTAAAGCAGGGATTTCAGTTACTTTAGAACTGTCAACCCAGGGATGATGGTGGTGGTTTTAAATACAATGTATTTATTGTCATTACTGTGACAATTTCTTCCTTGAACAAAAGCTGGACAGCATAGTTAGGGATGAGCACTGTATGTCCTGTATCATCAACACTTTGCACTGTGTGCTTGCATGTAGTGACAGGGAGGTTTCTGTTCTCCAGTCTACCTGCTCTGACAGTAATCTGTTTCCTCCATCTCCCCACTGCCTGATTCTGGACTAAGGTTGTTTGCTGTCTCAGGGCCCAGGTGCTGTTAAAGCCCACGACTGTCATCCCAAATCATTGACAGCTGTTGCCCACTTTGCCACATTACCTCCCTGTGACTCTGACTTTCAAACTTCTCACATCTCTCTTGCTGTTCCTTTTTCCCTCAGAAGTCAAGTACACCAACTGTTCCGTGGATAACGGGGGATGTGACCATTTCTGTAGGGATGACCCTGCCAACCAGGGCCGCTCGTGCAGCTGTGCATCGGGGTATCAGCTCATGAACGACCACATCACGTGCAAGCCTGTAGGTAAGAGGAGGATGTTTGTGATCCACGTTTGACAGAGGATTATTCAGACTGAAGCAAGAGAGTTTTAGGGCAGAATTGTCGGCAGTGCACTTTCTACTCATTTTCAAAACACCTATTCCGTGCAGGGTAACTCTGCCTGCATTTCTCAACTCCATACCTGCTCTATGGCCCTTAATCTGTGTTTGCCTCATGGAGACATAGAGGGGAATCAGGAGACCGCCTCCTTGCCAAGCACTGAGGGACTTCCATGAAGCCTCTGACCAGTATTGCCTAGGTTAGAGACACAGAGGAAATGCTCTAGAAAGTGGTTTTGTGTTGGGTGATCTGGGCTTTGCTAGTGAACTTCTCTGCATCTGCACAGTGGAGTTCCCCTGTGGGAGAGTGAAGGTGGACGACACTGAAGCCAAAGCAAACCTCAATATTCGGCTCATTGAGGGAACAGCTGCAAGAAGGGGAGACAGCCCTTGGCAGGTAGGAGAAAAGAGTTCTTCACCACAAGTAGTTTAGGCTCTTACCAAAAGCTCTGCCTGCCTGGCTACTCCAGAAAGGTTCCTACATTACTGGTGGTGTCATGTGAAGCTAAAATTTCCTTAGTTTTTTCAAAAGCAACCCCAAAATTGGAGTAGCAGGATAAAATGGTTTAGTATCTGTTTGGACTCGACTTTGTCACTGTTGCCAAGTTTTTTACCTTACCTTGCCAACACTATCAAGAGAGAGGATGGTGATTACATTCACCAACTCTGTTGCTCCATCCTGGGAAACTCATGCTGTGTGATGGGATGTGTGCTCCAGCTGCTGTAACAGCCTCATGGTGGGAGTGGGAGGGCACTTTCTCGCCCTTTTTTGTGAGCCTTGTCTGTCATACATTCAAGTTAACAGATTTAATCAGCAAAATATGCCATGGCAGGTTGGGATATCACAGAGAAAGGGGAGACTTCATGGAGCTTATCATGGAACTAATGAATGCAAATAATCAGGGCGTGGTTCTCTTTGACATGAAAGGCCCTTTTACACCATAGCATGAGAACTGCAGTCTGAGATGATGCACTGTCTCTGGTGTGGGACACAAGAATAATCCCCTCATTTGTGCTCTGTGTTTCAAAGCTTTGAGTGCAAAGTGCTTCTTTGCAGTGCCCAGCAGCACCCCATGCTGATTTGGATGAAGCCAACCCTCATTCAGGAAGAACATTCAAAACTTGTTTGTAGGTGTTCCACAGAGACTTTACTCATAAGGCTTTTGTCCCACTGTGGAGCTTTGGCTTCGGTGCAAGTGCCCTGCTTTGGTGCTTGGTGCATTGGGGTGTTTGGCAGCCACAAAGGAGGTTGTGCACAGTGTTTGGTGAGCCACTCTCCAGGCATTGTCACACCTCACACCTCTCTTGTTTGGTTTCAGGTTATGCTGCAAAGTACAAGTGGGAAGTTTCTGTGTGGGGGTGTTCTCATCCATCCAGCTTGGGTCCTAACAGCAGCACACTGCCTTGACACACCAAAGGAGCTCAAAGTAAGACTTGGTATGGAAAATCACCTATCCCTGTGTTTTTTAAATATAACTGTTTCATTCAAAATATTTATCATTTCAGGGAAAAGATAGCAGGTTCTGAAGGCAAAAGTCCTTGGTTGTAGGAATGGACTGTCTAGGCAGTATTTAAATATGCATTTTAGCTTAAAACAAAGCTTAGTAAAAATCTGATTTCATTTGAGCCACTATCAGCCTTACTGTGGAAGTGAGCTGGTGTCTTCTGAGCACTGCTGCTGGTCTATAAAGCAGAAAGACTTGGTCTCTTCTCCTTGTGTTTTTCTGGTGCTGAAAATATTCAAGGTCATCCCAATACTGAAAAAAACGTCTTGATCCCAGGAGGAGAATGTCACAGGGTGTCTTCCTGCCTTTTCATGCATTTAAACACTGTTACTTAAGGGAATTTCATTGCAGAAGGAGGAGAAGTGCTGTAGAATGGCAACACTGCCTTTACTTGCACTGCTGCTCTGGAGCATGAGAAAATGTCACTATGTCAAGTAGCAGTGCTGCTCCTGAATTAACAGACAGAAATAATTAGTGTTCCATTCACACTGAAGTAATATGGGATTTCTTTGGATCAATGTTTTCTATGTACCATTGGTGCTGAGGCATAACAGCTCAGCTGCTTGCTTTCTCCATTAGTGAAATGATGGGATATTCCCAGTATTTGTTGAAAGTCCTGCCAGTATATTGTCTGTGTACCTCTCCTGGAAAATACACAGTCTGTATGCATGTTCCATACAGACTGTGGGTGTGCAAGGGTTTGAGAACAGAGACAGTAAGGCACACACAGATCAATGTGTTTATGTACTTCCAACATACAGGATGAATAGAAAAGTATGTGATGTAGCCTTGGGTCCTCTCAGTGCCAGAATATTCACCTTTTCACAGGGAGACATCCAAATAGAAGTGTATGTGATAGTTTGGAAATGTGCATAAATTATGTCATTTTCTTCCTTTTTAAGCGTTTTCCATTAATTTTAGTGAAGCCCAAGAAGAGCTTCACTAAGGAACCTCGTTAGAGGAAAAGCAACTGTCAGATGTGGTGTTGGAGTGCTCTGCTTTGTTGGATGTAGCTTTGAGCGTAACTTGGGAGGGAATAGCTCAGTGGGGAGATGGTAACTGGGGCAAGTATTGAGGCTGCACTTAACATTGTTCCACCCTGGCCTCATACTGCAGGTCTTGAGAGAGATCTGTGCAGTCTGACAAGCCTTCAGCTGGGATTAACCATGCCCTGAGATGTGTCTGCAGCAAAGAAAGAAGGGGTGGGATCTGTCAGGAGAGTCCAAATAAAATGTGATTTTCAGTGGGTGAAGAAATGTCAGCACTTGAGAACCCTGATTTGAGAAGCTTTTGTTCTGTTCAAATGAAACTTGAGAGATGTCTCACACCTGAATTTGGGGCAAGTATACAGAGCAATTTATAGTGTAAGGATGGTTATCAGTAGGGCTCGGCTTTCTCTCACTCTCATACTTGCCCAAAAGACCTTCCTTATTCACAGAGGAAGAATCCAGTGTGTGGCCATGGACTGAGAGTTGTGATGCACAAGAGGAGTGAGCCCTGCAGCACGTGTGTTCCTGCTCATCCACACTGCCTTCCTTAGAGGAGCATTGGAGTCCACAGTTATTTCTGAGGCCTAAAGCAGGGTTTGCACCTGTGAAGGCAGGAATAAAGCCCTGCCATCTTCCCTGCCATCCCCCAGTCACAGTGACTGGAGAGTGCTCCAAGGACACTCAAGGAAGACAGGTTGTGCAAGGAGAAAAACACTGATTTGTGGTTGTTGGCTTGATACCGGGAAGTCCTTCAGGTTCTGGAACTACTTAATACAACGCATCAGAGCAGTTTCAACCACCTGCTCTGACCAGGTAGAATTTTCCATTGGATGTCTGCAGAGGAGCAAGAGGAGAGACTCTGAAATAATTGCTCTGGAGGTCCAAGATCCAAAGCTGGACTTAAGGAGTCTTTTGAGAATATGTTTCTGTAGCTACTGTGGCTCATAAGTCCCTACACTTGGAGACACTGACCCTTTACAGAAAAAACCAGCTGCAAGACCTCGCTGACAGCCTACAAGAAAGACCTGTCTCTGACTTTCCTATCCCAGTGTATCACAAAGGACTTCTTGCCTTTCTGGCCCTTCTCAACACAGTTTCCTGCTTACTGTTGCATTGACTGCTTGGGCCCTGAAGTGACTGTGATCATGTAGCACAAACAGCAACCCAGAAGTCTTAAGCAGTCAAAAATTCATTAAAATACAGATGTAAGATTTCAGAAAGGAATAGCCTTACCAGTCAGTCACCTTTATTTATAAATCCTGACGTCTCATTCAGGCAGCATAAAGCTCATGTCCTGTCATGAATGTCCTGCTTTGCATGTGCTTGCTCTTCCAGCTTTTAATGCTGGTTCCAAAAAGGTTGTTTTCCTCCTGAAGGAGGTCTCTCATATTGCACAGGTGTACTGAAATGTGAACACAGCAGGGCATTTTGGTTTCTCAGCTGATGAGCAGAGCTCTAGGGCACCAGTTCATTTACTACTGTGGGTATTCATGATTTCAGTAAACAGGGAAAGTTTACAGGTTAGTCCATCTGTTAAAAACACTGTCAACCTGTGACATAAAATGAGCAAATTGTCTGTATTACAAGGGAAGTAAAACCATAGGAGTACAGCATATTCCAGATGCTTTGGTGTCCAAGGGGAAGGGAAGTTCGGCAGCATCTGTCTTCTTCTTGTTTGCTCTTCCAGGTAAATTCCTTTTCCGTCGTCGTGATGTCGACGAGCAAATCATTCGGGTGGATAAACAGGTGATCCACGAGAACTACACCAAGAAGACGCTGGATAACGACATAGCCATGCTGCACCTGGCCGAGCACGCCATGTACTACAAGTACGCGCTCCCCATCTGCCTCCCCGCCCGCAACCTGGCCGAGCAGGAGCTGACGAGGAGCGGGCAGCAGATGGTGGTGACGGGCTGGGGCAGCACGAGCGACGTGAACGTCAGCTACCCCACCTCCCTGCACTACATCGAGATCCCCATCGTGCCCCGCAACGAGTGTGCCCCCGCCATGGCCTCTCCTGTCTCCGACAACATGCTGTGTGCCGGGAGCCTGGGAGACAGGAAGGATGCCTGCCTTGGGGACAGCGGGGGCCCCATGTCCACCAAATACAAGGATACTTGGTTTTTGGTAGGACTGGTGAGCTGGGGCCATGGCTGTGGGAGAAGGGAGAAATTTGGAGTCTACACCAAAGTTAGTCAGTACCTGGAGTGGATCCAGCACCACATAGATGTGTCAACTCCTTTGAAGGGTTGATTCTGACCCCGAGAGTCTGGAATGTTGTGCTGGTGACAGTATGCAGTGTAATGTCAGACCTTCAGTATTAAATATTGAGTATATGTTAACCTCGTGTGCTGTTTTCCTTGGGACTTATTTTTTTCTCTCCTTTTTTTCTTGTTTACATTGGTTTGTTGCAGGTTGTGTTGTTTATCTGTGGCATGGCCCTACTTAAGCCTTACAGGCAAGAAAAAAGAACCCTGTTAGCTGAGATGCTGTACAGCATTGTAGAAAATAAGGTGATCCATGGTCAGACAGCTCCATCTTTGAGGTGTAAAATATCTGAATTGGTTGGGGTGGGGGGCAGGAGGGGACAGAGAAAACTGTTTTTGCAAGTCACCATCGAGATGCAGTTCTGTCATTTCAGCTGTACCCACAGTAACTGTTTTGGTTTGCTCTGTATTTGTATCATTTTTCTTGCAACACAGTGAAGTTTTTGTAACATCATTACTGCTTCCAGTCCCTCACATCCTACTCCAGTGCTCACAGATCCTTGATTCAGCAGGTGACTAGAACTTCTCTGTATTTTCTATTCTTTGCACACCTGATGCCTGATTTTACCCCCCCAAACTTCCTGAAAAGAGAATGGGAACTGTATAGTATTATTCAAAAAAAAAAGAAGAGAGGTTTAATTCCAAGCTATTGCAGGCTCTATTTATCCTGGGGTCTGTAACAGTCTTCTAATTAGCAAGGTAAGCAAATGCTTCTGTTTATTGCTGTTCTGGTGACTGCAGTCAGCTGCAGGCTGTGTGAACATTGCTAATGCTTACTGATAAATGGTGTGTTTGCATCTCTGTCTGTGTGTGTATATGAGTAAATGATGCAGAGCACCAGTAAGTTCATAGGAAGTAGCAATAGTCCAGGTGAAGTTTAATATCACAGTTTATACTTATTTCTAATCTTAGCACTTGTTAAATAGAATTAATCTTGTAGGAAAAAAAAAAAAAAGCAGAACTCTTTCTGCTCTAGTGATGTGAGTTTCCAGTGTGTGTTTCCAATGTCTCGAGGGGTTTGGATCAGTGAAGAACTTCAGTCTGCTCTTGTGATGAGACTTAAACGAAAAAAACCTCAGGTACAAGGAATTGTGTTGGTTTGTAAGAAATTTAATGTGGTGTCAGCAAAGAAGTTTAATACCTTTTGTATTTGTGGACTTGTTGACTCAGGAGCTGCCTTGGTGCTTGTTACCCAAGTGCTGATGTTGAGTCATTAAGAGAGCTGGCTCTGGCTCTCTTTTCTCCTCCCCCTTTTCCCTTGGGACAGGACTTAAGGATGGAGGAACATTAAATAAGAATGCTTTGAACAGCACCCTTCTCAGCAGGCCTGCACCAGAACAGGTAACCTGTAACCCTGAGTTGAAACATGGTTGTGTTCAAAGAAGCGTGGGGGGTGGCAGTGCTGGTGCTGTGACAGGGCAACATTTGCCTGCTGGTGACTGCAGTGAATCCTCCTGCACACTCCCAGCTCTGCAATATTTCAGCACCTGTTTACAGAGTAGCTGGTGTGTTTTCCAGATTAGTTGGCCTTGCCTACTGAAAGGTGACAGTGTCAGAAATCTGCTCTTAAAAGTTCCACATTTTCCTGAAGAAATTTATTGCAAAGCAGTGGCTTTTAGTATTGGAGGATTATTTAAAAGACTAAATTCTCTTTTTAATGCACATGTGTATGTGTGTGGAAACACACACTTTTCTTCCGATTTTGAATTTCTAATGTGTCTCACAGAATCCAGGTTCTCTCTCCTCTGTCAATATTTGTGACTAGTTAATGATCAACCTCTTGACCTCATGGCTGTTCCTGGTGTACAGCCAAATCTCTTTCCTGTCTTCCCCTAAAAACAAAAATAAAGAAAAACGTGAGTATAATTGCATGGTTCTGTGTAAATTGAACTCATTCTGCATCCTGTGGTTTTGAAAAAATGCTGCAGGTAGCAGAGAGGAACATGCTGTTGAATCCTGGTAAATCCTTTAGCCTGGGAAGGTAATAAGAAGAAATGCAAACTTGTGTGCTGTACCTGTGACTGCTGGTATGTGGTGCTTGGTTCCTCCTTGGGGTCTGTGCAGGGTCTTCCCTGAGCGAAGCATCAGCAGTTGCACAGGGGCTGGTTGTGCTCCTGCCTCGGCTTCAGCAACACTGGGCTGGGAGTGGCCTGTGCTCCATTTGGGCCGTGTGTTCCCATGCTCCCCAGGGCTTTTCCGTGGCTTCCGTGGGCTTTGGATGAGCCCCTGCCCCACAGCTCAGCTCCTGCCCGTTGGGGTGTGCAGCATCGGCGTGGCTTGGGGAAACAGGGGACATGAGGTCAAAATGAGCTGGGTAGAATTTGCTTTCTTTGTCTCTTCTTATCCTCTCGCTTTTACTTTTTCATCTTTTTTGCAGGCTGGTTTTGTGATAACATACTAATTTTATTATTCTTTTCCCTCAGAAAGAAATCAGGAGGTCAGTGTTCTGGATGCTCACTAACATGGAGAGCAGCTCCTCACTTGGGAGATTTCTCCTGCTGATGTGCTTCATTGACAGCAACTGCCTGTTTTCATATGAAGGTAGGTATTTCTTTTACTTTTTTAATTAAATTGTCTTTTTATGGCAATGTTGGCATTTAAACAGAAACTATGTTCCTGTTCTGAGCACAAAGTCCTGTGGGTTGAAGAAATGCTTCCTGAAATGCACAAGAAAGAAATTAATATTCATATACATATTTGCAAGTGAAATCAGCCTTTCTTAGATTTCTGTTTAGCCCACTCTCCTGTTGAAAAGTATTCTCCCTGTGACATGGAACCCGAGATCTGAATTGGTTTTGCATGGTAGAGGTTTCCAGTTTGGAAATCTAAAATGAGGCACTTTCAACATGTGTTCTTGGACCTCGTGTTGATTGTACAACTACTACACAAGGTTTGGAAATGGCTTCAGAGAGCTGTGGGACAGCCACCAGAGTGTGCAGGATCTCAGGAATCATCGTGGCTGTCCTTGCAGAGGAGGAAGAGCAGAGCAGGGTATCTGCAAAGGCTCTGTGGGACACCTACTTAAAGGAGGTAAATCCTTTAAGGTGACCCAGAACACAAGAGGTGCTGAAGGGAAATTCTACTGATGTAAGTGAAGGAAATGTTCTCCATTACCAGACAGCAGGATCTGTGCAAAGCTTTTCTCCACTGAGTTTTTGTGGGCTGTTACTAATTGCCTGGAAATGAAGCAATGTAATATCATTCTAGAATTTCAGTCATTGCTGTAAATACTGATCCTGCAACTGCAAATAGATCTGTGTTTTCACAGTCCATCTCCAAAACTGGGTTCTTTGCCAGAAGGTTTGACTTGTCCAGGGCACTAATCCCTAGCTGGGAAAAGCAGTGCTGTGTGGATTTCCATAGGCTTTTTTGGGATTACAGAGTGAGCTTTTGTCTCATAACACTTGGAGCAGCAGCCTTTCCATCTGCCAGGTGGGCTTTGGCCATGGGGCTGCACTTCTGGGATCAGTGCACCCACAAGGGGTGTGGGTGGAAAAACCCTGGCACACTGCTGCAGATAGAGGTGCCTTAGCAAAGATGTGCTGTGGAGCAGAGGGGGGGTGTGGGGAGGACATTACTGACACAGTCCTTCTTTTGGCCATTCCTCCCTTAATTTATTGGCAGTAACAGCTTAAGGCATCACGGGAGGAGGGCAAATACCTTAGTGAGGCAAAGTTGAGATGAGCTAAATGTAAGCACAAAACTGACACTAATATTTCCTCTTAATGAAGGATTGGTGTCTGTTCTATTGTGACCACAGCAGAACCTGGAGAACTCTGTGACTCCATAACCAAATACCAAGCTAATAATTGTTGTGAATTGGGATGGTTAAGCAGAAAAATCTAACCAGCCTCCAGAGAAAAAGCTGCAATACTCAAGAGTCTTGTGGAATTAAAAATTTCTGCACTAACCTGCAAGTCTCAGTAGTGGCTCTTTTGACTCACTGAAAGCAAGCTCAGACTACTGATACGTTTTGCTGAAACACAGACTAATTTTATTTTCCTTTGGGCTGTTTGTGTAGATTCCCACTCCCCTCATTTATATTGTTTTTTCCACTGAAAGCCCATGTGACTGTGACTGTGGCAATGCCACTGTGTTGCCTTCAGCACCAACTGTTCAGTTTTGGTCTTCTAGTGTTTGTGAGAAAAGACAAAGCCCACGAGGTGCTGCGAGTCCACAAACGTGCCAACCACTTCCTAGAAGAGATTCGACCAGGGAACTTGGAGAGAGAATGCAATGAGGAAAAGTGTTCATTTGAGGAGGCCAAGGAGATCTTCCATTCGCAGGAGAAAACGGTGAGAAACTTGATTTTAGGAGAAACAGAGGAAAGTCAATGGTGAGGTCTAAGTAATCCTGCCCAGGTCACCTAGTGTGGCTCTGGAAGTGTGTGTCTATGGATTCTGCAGCTTGGGTCACTTCAGGGGGATTCAGGGAGGGTCACCCAGGGCACCTGTGAGACTGCACTTTGTGAGTGCTCAGTTTGTTGTGTAAATGTTAAACACAAATCCTTGGAAGTATCTAAAACCCATTTCTGAGAGCATCAATCCAGCAATGTGACTGGGACATTTTCAGAGGTCACTTGCTTGTCCAGACCCTCCAAATCCAGGGGAGGAGTGTCTCATTCCCAGGGCCAACAGCATCTGGCTGGAAGCAGGGCCGGGGCCTTCTGGGGCCTTGTGCTGAGGCAGGAGTTGGAGCTGCAGAGTTAAACAGGTGCCTGGTCTCTCCTGGATCCAGCCCGAGGTGCCAGGAATGTCTCTGCAGCAGGTAAAGCAGCACAGTAGAAATGGCTCTTCAAAGCAAAGCAGCTGATGCTGAGGCCTTGCAGTGACACCTTTTGGGGAGGGGGGGTGTGGTGATGGTGTCACTTGAAACTCCTGAGCTGGTGCCACAGACCTTTCAGTGGCTGGAGCATTTAAGGATCTGAGCTTTCAGGTTCATTTTGATTCCAGTACAGCCCAGTTTATGCACTCTGTGACCGGTCCATGGTACATGGTCCATTTACAAAAGTAAATGGCACGGTGGTGATCAGGAGATACTGTTCTGAGATTGTGTTTGTGGCTCTACTGAAAATGTCAGTTTACATGGACCCTAAAAAGACAGCTTTCTAAACTATGTCTTCAGTAACCCGTATGACTGTTTGTTGCCTGTTCTCTTCATTTGTGATTTCCTCTTGCAGATGGAGTTTTGGTTCAATTACAAAGGTAGGTAATTTCACACACCCAGGTGTGTCCCTCCTGGGTACAAAGAACTATGTGGCAATTGAAAGCCAGGCTTCTCTTAATTCCTGGAGTTACACCGTGCCTTGTTTCTTCTCCTTAGGTTTAAATCCATGTAGTACAAATCCCTGTAACAATGGTGGAGTCTGCAAAATAAGACATTACAGTTACTTTTGCATCTGCCCCCCAGAATTCAAAGGACACAACTGTGAAATAGGTGAGTGCAGGAATAGACATTGGCATTCATTGTGAAGGAGGGATGGCATGTGGCCATCTCCTGTCTGCTCCCAAGAAAGGCCCCTTTTCATCACTTTGGAGGGATAACAACTCTAGTGACTCCTGCCATAGATGCCTGCACTGGAGATTGTTCATGGTGAGGCTCTTCTCTTTTACTGAGTCAATCAAACAAATTAGCCAAAGCTCACTGAAAGGGGAAAAGTCTGCTATATTTATGTTGTAATATATGAGTGATGAAAAAGGAAGGATAAAAACTGCCTTCTCTTACCAGGTTTTTCATCCTCTGAAATGCTCTATCCAGTTTGCAAACTGAGGCATGAAATAACAGCAAAAGCCAAACTGTGGAAACTAAATTTTTTTCCTCCAACTGCTTTTGTTGACCTTTTCTTTGTACAGTGAAGCAATTAAACATGACTGTTTTTAACGTAACAATGAATAAAAATCTCAGTCCATTTCAGGCAAGGTCGGACCCCCCCCCAATACCCGGTGCTTTAAACCTGTCATGATATAACAGACAAGATGTGCAGATAGATCAAAAACTGATGCATTTAGAAGTGTTTGCTCTTCCAGGCCTCTTCTTGCCCCTGCTCCACAGGCAGAAAGGCCCAGCCGTGGCCTCAGGGCAAAGCTGGCAAATGGGAGAATGGTCAGAACAGAACAAACCAAACAGGAGGTCTGGTTTGCTGCACACCAGTGTGCGTGTCTGGAACTGGAAGGGGCGGTTCCTTCTGTTTCCCTGAGCACTTCCAGATGTTTTCCTACTTTGCCTCATGCAATAGTAGCTCCGGGAGCTGGGTGCTGTAACCGCGGGTGTTTCCCCGGCAGAGAGGTTGGAGTGCTGGTACAAGAACGGCGGGTGCTGGCAGTACTGCAGGGACAGCAGCGCCCTCCACGTGGAGTGTTCCTGCGCCAGGGACTACACCCTGCACGAGGACGGGAGGAGCTGCGTGCAGGCAGGTAAAGCACGGAAGAGGAGGTTTGCAGGCACTGACTTTCCCTCCGCTGGATGCAGAAGAGCTGCACATGCTGTGGCTACTGCAGCTTGCACTTACTGTATGAAAAGATCTGTCTTATTTGTAATGTTTATTTTAAATGTTAAGGTTCCTCTCTGTCTGGTGTCTGTAGTCCAGTGCCCCTGTGAGCACATACTGGGTCAAGGAGCAAGCAGGACAGTTTGGGGTGGGCCTGTTCTAGCACAGGCTTAAATCAGCTAAACTGAGTCTTGAGGCTGAAGTGCAGGGGTGGAAGGGGAGAGGATAGGACAGGGGGCTTTAAAATGTGGTGTTAGGCAGAAGGGGAGGGCTGGGTCAGTATTCTTTCCTGAAGAGAGCCCTCGGCAGGCTGCTCCTGGCTGATGGCTCAGAAAAGACACGGCCACACCCCCATTTCTGGGTAATGAGTTCTGCACACTCAGCCAAGGGGGGGGCAGGGGGAGTTTGACATCCCGAGGTCAGAGTTGTTCCAGGGGGGTCGAGTCCCATTCTTGGACAGGAAAAGTGCTGCCTTGTGTTTGAGTTCAACATGACACCAACACACCCTAATCTCAAATCTTGGTTTCTGTCATTCCTTCTTCCAGCACCGTTTCCCTGTGGCTTGATCAAAGCCAGGCAGGCTCTGGAGGAACAGCGGCGGGGGCCAAAAAGCCTCCTGAGGAGCCAGTGGGAGCACAGGGATGTGCCTGAGCTGAACAGGAGCACAGAGGGCACAGCTGGGCAGATGGAGCTGGAACACAGTGATGTTGGGGAAAAGGAGACCATAAAGGATGCCTTCGGGCATGCTGGACTAACGGAGGTGGCAGGAGATGCTTCCAGCTGCAAAAAGACAGTGGTGGGCTCTGTGTCCCAGAAGCCCCTGGGGGAGGAGCTGGATGGCCCTGAGAACCACAAGGCAGTGGAGGGAACTGGGAGAGGCCTGGCTGAGCCAAGCCAGGGCCCAGCATGGCAGAACAAGAGCACAGCACCTGCTGCCAGGCAGGAAGGAACAGGGGGAAACACCACAGGGCAAAACCAACGAGGGGAGGGCACTGGCAGGAACAGAACGGGGGCTGTTCAACACAGGAGTGATGGGCTGCATCAGAGCAGGGACGGGGGAGACGGTCTGGACGTGCCTCAGCCCACCCAGGCAAACATCAGCTCTGCTTTGGAGCACGGGGACCCCAGGATAACAGGAGGAATGCTGTGTCATCGTGGACATTGCCCCTGGCAGGTAATACCTTACTTCCAGTCTGGCCAAACACCACCCCTAAGTGCTTTCTTGCTTTAACTTTATTGGGTCCTTCAGGAGCAGAGTTCATCAAGCCATTATAAAGTTTTTTCAGGTCGAGAGCAATGGAACCACGTGTATTTCTCAGCCTTCAGCAGGGCTTTTTGATGATACAGACTTTAGATGCCTTTGATTCTTCCTGTCCTACATATGTATGCTTTTGGATTAGAACGTAATACCTTCTATCTTAATCCAGTCAGATCTCCTGTGCTGTTATTCAGGTTGTGTCTGCGTGTCCTTAGGGAAAAGCTGAGCTTCTGCCTCCCTGTGGAAGGCTGGTAATAGTTTTCCTGAGGCAGGTTCTGTGGCCAGGTGAGATTCAGTAGGTTTGGGGCTTTTGTGTGTGTGTCCTTATTTGTTACTGATTTTCACTATATTGTCTCTCTCTCTGGTCAATATCCTGTTACTGTTTGCAGAGAAATTCTGATCTCAAACCCTTCACATTACCCTCAGTTGATTTACTGCTGGCACACAAGTAGATTTCCCAATTCCACATCAGAAGGTATTTATAGGTGGAAAAGTCATAGGCTGAACCTGGGTGGACCATGCATTGTGCACTTTGGCAAGCTGAAATGTCACTATTAGCCAATTTTATGGGTTTCCATCAGCAGCTGCTTCCCTTTGGATCAGTAGACTGATTTTGGGTTGTTAGATGGGAATGTTGTTTGTTGTCCAACCTTATACAGTTTCTTCTGGAAATGAAGTGTTACCACTAAGCTGGTTTTAAATTGTCATTACATCAAGAAATTTGTAATTTAATGTTGAATTTAAAGTGTATCTATCTATCAATATAATTTTTAAAGGTTTTTTAAACCCTTTGCATTCTAGGTCTTCATAACCTAAGACCAGCATTTTCTGATAAATGTTCTTTGCTACTTTTCAATGTTTATTTCTAGCACTGCTGAACAGAATTAAAAGCATCAGTAGTACACAGAATTAATAGTTGAGGAGATGCTGAGGCATTGATGGAGCTTATAATTCTGAACAGACAAGACAGACAACAAACACTGAGCACCATTTGCTACTGTGTAGATCATTACAAATTTTATTATCTGATTACTAATAAACTGCACCTTGTGTTTCTGTTCTCCACCACTCCCAAAACATTTGATGCCACATGAAAAATAAATCACAGTCATACTTGTTCCTTCAGAAGAACATCAGCCACTGCAGCTGTAAGTCTGCATGAGCTCGTCGAGCTTAGTTCATTAAATACTCTGCTCCCTCGTCACAGCAGTGATTTTATTACTGTTTCCACTGCCCTTTGCTTGGTGGGCTGATGCTCCTGCCAGACGTGTTCCTTGCCTGGGTCAGAGCCCACAGTGTGTGCACATCCCCGGCCCAGCCGCGGTTCTGCCTCTCCCTTCCCGCAGGTGCTGATCCGGGACAGCCGGGGCGTGGGGTTCTGCGGCGGGAGCCTCCTGAGCAGCCGCTGGGTGGTCACGGCCGCGCACTGCCTGGACCTCGTGAGCCCCCACCACGTCACTGTGGGTGAGCACAGGGGCGGGGGAGGCACAGCACAGCCAGCCCCACCTGCGTTTAGGGACCCCTTCAGCTCCTTGGCAGCGTAGAGGTGCCAAAGGGCTCAGCTGGTCCCTTCTGTTTTCATGGAGAACCTGGGGAAACAAGGCAGAGATTCTGTCTCTTCTGTCATCCATTTTGGCAAACTCAGAGCCTGAGCGCACCTTGGTGACCCCTCAGGAGGAAGAAGGGTTCCTGTAGGTGACTGTCTGCTATCAAGGCCATTTTGGTTCTTAATCAGCCTTAAGGTTAATTACCTGCTGTGCTGCCTCTTCCTTATTGCCTGTAGCTGCCTGGGAGCACAAAGCCCCTCTCCCCGTTACAGCCACAGGAATTGGCCCCCTGCAGCGGGAATGCTGCAACAAACACAACCTTGTGCCCCAGGGACCCTCCCGAAGAGGGATGTGCAGGAGGAGCAAACAGCACTGGGGAACTGACAGGAAACAATTCTTCAGCCTTAGTCCCAGCTGCAGCTTAATGCTGATGTCATGTCCCTGAGAGGGGAAACACTGTCCCATGGAAGTTTAGACACAGCTCTGCTTACTAAAAAGGACTGACAGTGTTTATGGGAAATCATCTCCGTTAGTATCTCATCACCCAGGCCCCAACTCTGCCTAAAGGACACCTGGAAAGTTTGGTTTGCAGGATCACAGCTGTCCTTGTTACATGCAGGATTTGGTTTGGGATGTGCCTTCTCAGGACAAAATATCAAAGCGTTAACTCCCCGTCCTTCCTGTTTCCCAGTGACGATACCCCAGAGGCTGTTTACAGTTTGCTTAACGTTTTAACTTGTCCTGGCTGCAGGAGACTTTGACAAATACCAGAGAGAGTTCAAGGAGCAGAAGATCGCTGTGGAGCGGAGCTGGACGCACCCTCACTACGATTCCAACGACTACAACGGTGACATCGCGCTGCTCTACTTGAGCAGTGCCGTTGTTTTCAACGAGTACGCGATTCCCATCTGCCTGCCCAGCCCCGGCCTGGCCGCGCTGCTCTCCGAGGAGGGGCGGCTCGGGGTGGTGAGCGGCTGGGGAGCCACCCACGCCCGCGGCTCCCCCCTGCGCTTCCTCATGAAGGTGCGGCTGCCCCTGGTGAGCCTGGAGCGCTGCCAGCGGGCCATGGACAGGCTGGTCACCGACAACATGCTCTGCGCGGGGCACGGCACCGCGGCCACCGACGCCTGCAAGGGGGACAGTGGGGGCCCCTTCATCGCCTCCCACCGCAACACCTGGTTCCTCCTGGGCATCGTCAGCTGGGGCGAGGGCTGTGCCCAGCAGGGGAAATACGGGGTGTACACCAGAGTAGCCAACTACGTCCCCTGGATTAAAGAGGTGGTTGAAAGCGTAGCAGATTCAGAAAACTTTTCCATTAACTTTTCTTAATGCCAGCTACAGGAGCAGGAATAATTCTACTATTACAGTGTTTCAGTCTACAACACTGGGCCTGTTCTTGTCCTTAATGGTGTAAAATTACCCTCAAGGAAATTTTGAGAGGGTTAAATTGCTTATTCAAGTACTGCTAAGTAAAATACTTGTGTATAATAAAGAACTATTTGCGAGTAACAGAGGAGAAAACAACTTTTCTTAATGTAAATTCTTATCAGGAAGATTTTTTTAAGCGAAAGCAAAAGCTTTACATTTCTCAGGCCTACCTGCATCTCACAGACAGGCACACTCAGTTCTCTGTACAAATTCAGTGCTTAGCAAAGCAAGTGCAGTTTGGGTAGTGGTGTCTGGCTCTAGTTGTGAGACAGACAGTGCTAAACACAACAGGGAGGGAGCTCTGAAGTTCCGGAACCAAGGACGTCAGTTTACTAAATTACAAATGTTTTCTGATACAAAAAAGTCTATGTGGAACTGGGCATAAACGGAGCAGGAATCCACCCAGCTCCAGGAAGATTAAAGGATTGTGCAGTAAAATTCTCAACAGGTGATCCATATCAAGTTTTGATTTTGTGACCTCTCCTACAATTGACTGACGTTTTAATTACACCCCCCCAGCACACTCCATTGTTACCATTCCACAAGAAACAGAACCATTCTGTTTGCCTCAGAGAACACACGGTGTTGAGCTATTATGATGAATTTTGATAGGAAGAATTTGAATTAGGCCTTGCACAAGACCACCAAGCCCAGTACCTCAATGAAACATCTCCTAGGATTTAAAAGTAGCCCCTAGCCCCCAGTGACTAGAAGACTAGACTGAAGCACTAGAACTATAAAAAAAAAAAATTGAGGGAAGAAAAAAGAATCTATTGGACTTTTAGGGCCAAACAGACCCTGGCTATGAACAGCTCTGCACAGTTTCCTTGTTCTTCGCAGTTGCACCTGCCACTATGGCAGTAAGGAAGGCCGTGGCTTTCAATAAATTCTTAACTGGAGAAAACCCCAAATCCCTGAAGGTCTCAGCATGCTAAAAACACACCCCTGAGGCGGTTACTGCAGCATACACATACCTGAGGAGAGCAGGTGAAGTTGTCTTAGGAGCAGAATCCCTCTCGTGCCCCAGCCAGCACAGGTGTCCTCCTCCTGAAGTCGGTGTCCCAGCACACAGCTCATTACTGTCCCTCCCTCCAGTCTCACAGGGCCACATTTAACAGGTGACTCTCCACACTCTTGCATTCACCCCTTACCAGTGCCAGCAGTAACTCACCCAAACACCATAATCCCCACCTCAAAGAAGCCCCAGAATTACAGAACACACAGCAAACAGGCTCCGCTCCTCTGGAAGGAAGGCAACTTTCTTACTGAAGAAATTCCAACTGCCGGTTATCCGTGCAAGGAGGAGAGTCCTCTTCTTGTAGGCAAGCTCAGCAGAGACAACCATTTGTGGAGGTAAAGGCAAAGAAGCAACATGACCAGATGTTGCTCTGCTGTTGTTCTGTAGCTGCAGGGACAAAGAAATAGCAGCATGATCCCCCCTAACACAGAGACAGGAACCTTCTCCTTCCCACTGGTAAAACAAACCTTTTGCAAAGTCACTAGTGAGCTACAGAAACATTTTAGCTGGAAACTGCTGGAATTTTTAGTGGTTGGTCTGCTGGGTTTTCCTGAACTTTACATCATGAAAAATAAAATCCTTTGTGTGGAAAATGGTCAGTATTTCTAATCAAAAGCAATACATGTAGATCTCCAAAGACATAATAACTGATTAATAAATCACTGAATAAAGAGGAACTAGACAACTCTGAACAGAAAATTAACCATTCACAGCTTTTCCACATCCAAGGTGGTCTGTGCATACCTTCCCCTGAGTAATCAACAAGCAGCACAAAAAAACAGAAGATGTTTTATTGTCTGAAGTGTTGCAATACAACAAATACATGATCTGTACAAAGGACATGATAGGGCCAGTTAAATACTATCAGGAGAAAGAAGTCTTCATATTCACAGTCCTCAGACAACATCTTCTACCAGAACCTGAACCAACAATTCAAAGACTCACTTAAAAAAACCCCAAACAAGTTGTAAAAAAACTTAAAGGTCTCCAAAGAGTCTGTGGGTGCACTGTCTTACAGCAGAGCTCATGGGGTATTCTGTGAAGGGTCACAATGGCATCTTATTACCCTCAATGCTGATTTTCACTGCATGGGCCGATCTGCTTTTTTTCCTGATATCTGTGAATTTCCGCATCTGTTTGTCCAGTCGACTCACCCCTTTCTTAGAGGTCCCCTGGAACTTAAAAAATAAAACTAATAATTACCACTGAAAAAAAAGCAGACGTCCCAGAGGTCCAAGGCAAGCGGCGCATGCGAGGTCACCCCTGGGCCTGGCTGGTGTCTCTGTCCTTCCCCCAGAGTGGGGAAAGGCTTCCCCCAGGATCTGCACGCCCGTGTGGAGGCAGAGGCACTCAGCCATCACCCTGTTTGCTGGGTACAGTTTGCAAGTTTTCTCTCTACTGGCTGGAGGTGTGTCAGAACCACAGTGCACCAGTGTCACCCAAAAGGGCTTCCTGGGGGAGTTCGGACATGGATACACTGTGACTGAGGCTGACACGGCATTTCCAAACTGCCATTTATTTTAAAGGTCATGGATTAGTCCTTATAAAGCAAGAGATTACCGGGAAAAGTGTGTAGGGAGAAGCCAGAGAAATGCTAAGCTGACCATACAAGCTCTTAGAAGTTATTGCATCTCATCTCTGTATTTGAACTGCAAGTGAAAAGCAGGCAGTGCAGCAGTTATTCTGCCCAGATTAAATACAGTGATGCTGTAACAAAACATCACTGAAGACAAACAGCAAGGACCTTCCAAGCCATAGCCCATACTTCCTAGAAGGCAATTTCCCCTAACTAGACAACAGAAATAATAAACAATGAAAACGCCACACCTTTAAGTTTAGGAGAAACAGAGATATCCAAAACATGCTACATAGTATCTGACAAAACACATCCATTAGAAACTTGTTCCCATTGCTGAGGAAGGTGCCCCTGACACACTGATTTTAAATAAACTTTATTCATAAAACTGTTCACTACTCATTGAAATTATAGCTGAAGTTTCACAGTGATTTTTAAGAAAATATTTTTTTTAAAACAAATAAATATGAAGCTTAAACTCAACAGTTATCTATCACTTGTGCTCATCTCTTCCTGTCACTGTCAGCTTGTGGCAGCCCTGCTCAAAGCACTGAAATGCAGACCAGGAATTGTCAAAACAATTCCCACACTGATGCATGTTCTCCCACCCCACACTCACGATGGGGTGTTTCTTCTCCCCCAGTCTCATTCTCTGCCTCCCATCAACCACTCCTAAAGTCTCTTCACACTATCACATCACTCTACTTCCTTGAAAGAGGTGTGAAAAACACCTCCCTGTGCCCCCCTCAAAGATCAGCCACAGATGTTGGTGTGCAGTGACACGAGGTTCTGTACCAAGGGCTAAGAATTCCCATGTGTCAGTTCAGGTAAACCTGGAAAACCCAGTTGTGTCAGAACAGCACTTAAAACCACAGGTGGTGCAAAGCTGGTGCTGAGCACAGGTATTTTCACTGGACACCTGTCATTTGGGTACCCTGACGCTGTGCAGGCAGGTGCCATGGCAGGTGTTATGTGCTACAGCCTGTTTTTTCCTGTACAAGTTGCCTTGTAGGTCACAGTACAGACACGAGAGAATACAAGGAGAGTTTTCCAGGTTTAGGTTAGGGTGTACACACTGCTGTCCTGCATGTGCAAACTGCCAACAGCTGAAGCACATGCACTGTTCACACCTCCCTCGAGGGATACCTCTCCAACTTGGGAAGGCAGTGGCATGGCTACAGGGGCATCCTGTTGCCTTCAATGCTGAACTTGATGGCCCGATGCACTTTGCTGAGTCGTTTCTGTTCAGCAAACCGTCTCTTGTGCTTTTCCAAGCGACTAATACCTCTCTTAATAGTCCCGGGCTAGAAACAACATCTCAATTAATGCACAGAAGGAGAGAGAACAGCAGCAAGCACAGCAATTGTTACTTCTTCCATTTACACATACTCTACCACGTACACCCCTTTTAACTGAAACTGTACCAAGGTAGATGGATGAACCACAGAGAGCAACACAAAGGCCTCCACCGAAGCTATTCAAGTTTACCAAAACCTCGAAGGTTTCCCAAACTGGAATATTATCAGAACATGATAAAGTTCTGGGGAGAGGTATAAAAATATCAGTGCAGTGACAGAGGTATTGAACTGCAGGTTTAGGTCAGAATGCTCTAAAGCAAGAGGCCTGTGATCAGATTCTCAGCCAAGAGAGAAACTCTACAACAGTTATCTCAAAAATCTCTTGTCAGAGAAGCAATGAAACCTGAGTGAAAGCATTTGATGAGCTTAGAACAGCCCACTCGACAGAGAACTTACTGTCTACTCCCATTAGAAGAGCCCCTTAAAAGAACTACCCTACTGTGCATGGCAATAGTGACAGATCCCCAGGCTTAGGACAGTCACCAGGAGAATGCCAGTACTTACCCTGGAGGACTCCATCTCCACGTTCCACTTTGGCCTGACCACATAGTCCTTGTTGGAGGGCATGGGCACCCTCGCACGGGCACAGAACCCGGGATCCCCGGGCCTGAGAGCCCTGCAGGAAAAGAGGATGTGACTGTTACGGACAAATCTTATCCAGAAAGAAGTACAGCAATGTGGTGTGTTCTCCTCTGACACACACTGCATACCACTGCCTCTAAAACCTCCATGCAATTTCCATATTGGTAGTACCACCAAAACACTTAAATCAATTTTTTTTAAAAAAAACCCCAACCTACTTTTCCTCTCCAGTTAACACTTTCTCCAAGTCTCTGCGGGGAGTCTGCCCACCAGAGCTGCAAGAAAAACAAGTGTTTTCAAGCATCTATACACAGAGAAAGACAGAAATTTTAAAAAACAAAGTGTGGTAAAAGGAAAGAGAGGTCATAACTTATTATCCTTCTGTTTCCTTAATATTTACACAACATTTTTCTTGATGGAGTCTTAGAAAGAAGGATTTCGTGTTTCTGCCTGCTA